GGATTGTATGATAAATTAGTGATATATAAACTGGCTAAATTAACGCAAATATTATTCAAATTGACGGACAAACCAGTTAAATACATGCCAGTGTTTGGTCCAATAGTTGCATTAGGGTCATATATACCTAATTGTACACTATTGGATACTATAATGTATGGTATACCACATTCAATATTGTATTATCTCATGGGATACCATACCATGGGATTTAATGTATCACTTATGGCTCACTATTCTCTTATCTGCTATTTTCTGAAATACAAATTACATGTTATTAATGAACAAATGGCTGAACATATTAAAAGTGGACACAATTTCGATGAGAGTTATAGTATGAAAACAATGCGCGCATTGAATGACATTTACGTTGAGATCAATGAATATAACACCAGTTATTGGTCTAAATATATCATAACCTCATGGTGTCTATTGGACACCATTGCTGTCACATTAATATACGTACTGTTTTTTCAGCATGCTAATCTAATTTTTGCATTTATTATTTTTTGTGAAGGTGTATTTTTACTGATTGTGTTTGCGTTCATAGCGTATATGTCGGCTCAAGTCAATTATGAAGCAAACAAATCATACAAACTATTCATTAAATACAACACAAAATGTTAAACGAAAAATTATGTAATTATTAAACAATTTTGAAACACATTATTCACTTGCAATAATATCTTTTAATATTATTTTGCAGTATATTATGTATTATTAAATATTTTTGTATTTCAAAATACAATATATTGTAATGAATAAAATAAAATGTCAATTATGTTCTCATTATGTGTAATAAAATGTGAAAATTTTATATAATTATTAATAAATATAATTAACATTTACTTTCGCCTTGTACTTNTATGTATTATTAAATATTTTTGTATTTCAAAATACAATATATTGTAATGAATAAAATAAAATGTCAATTATGTTCTCATTATGTGTAATAAAATGTGAAAATTTTATATAATTATTAATAAATATAATTAACATTTACTTTCGCCTTGTACTTGTAAAGTATATGTGGTTTAAAATACAAACATTTCTAAGAAATACATTTGAAACTTATTTCTACTATTAGTTTTAATTAAATAAATGTTTATTTGAAACTGAAACAAAAATCAAATGCTTTTACTTTTATGGCACGAATTCCATGTATTTATAAATATATGCCAAATGTATGTCCAGTATAAGTGGACATCAGTGCATACACAGTGTATGGGAACTGGAGGTCAACATAAGGCCGGAATGGGGTCAACCACCAGAATAGACAGCACTTGCATCCACACAAACACACCGCACATACAATAAAATATCAAATATTCTGTATTTAAACTCAACACAAATGCACACAAGAGATCATATAATTTGGACACACATTGAGTGCACTATTCGTGTCACTCATTGTCAACTATTTTTTATACTAAATCCATTTAATACTATTTGTATTTTTTTAAATTAAAAGTTAAAATAAAACTTAAATTTTGTTTTATAAANAAATATGTACTTAATTAAACGTGCATGATACATAAATCCTAAATATAGAGTAAAAAGTATAAAACTATGTATTTATGTGAAATATGACTGTCTGTCCATTCAGTGGAATCCATTGATATACACCTCTTGACAGTCCTCTTGATTGACACCCAAAGCTATTCGGGTACTCCAGACAAGAGGAGTTCAACACAATTATGAAAGTTTTTGAGATAATTGTGCGAAAGTGTCGAGACATTCAATCGATTTAAATACATTTCTACAACACATAGGCAATCAAAAATATGATTAAACTATTTCGTAAATATTATTTTCATATGCCAAAAATAGCAAACAAATTGCCATGGTATATACTTAAGTGTATGTATTTTGAAATATTAGCTTCTCCCTATTTCTCTCCTATCTATCTGTCTATCAATCTATGAATTTTTATAATAAAGCGGTTGTTTAAAGCTTTTTCATTGATAATTAATAAATATTGAAACACAAAAATCTTAAAAGCTTTTGTTTATTTAAGAGACTATATTTTTAGGGATATATAGATATATCCTATTTTGAAATACAACAATATTTAATAATACATAATATACTGCATAATAATATTAAAATATATAATTGCGAGTGAATACTGTGTTTTCAAAATTGTCTAATAATTACATAATTTTTTGTTTAACATTTTGTGTTATATGCATTGAATAGTTTGTATGATTTGTTTGCTTCATAATTGACTTGAGCCGACATATACGCTATGAACGCAAACACAATCAGTAGAAATACACCAGCATATAAAATAGCAAATGTAAAAATTAGATTAGCACGCTGAAATAACAGTACATATATTAGGGTAACAGCAATGGTGTCCAATAGACTCCATGAGGTTATGATATATTTAGACCAATAACTGGTGTTATAGTCATCGATCTCATCATAAATACCATTCAATTCATGCATTGTTTGCATAATATATCTCTCATTAAAATTATGTCCACTTTTAATATGTTCAGCCATTTGTTCATTAATTACATGTAATTTGTATTTCAGATAATAGCAGATCAGATAGTAGTGAGCCATAAGTGATACATTAAACCCCATGGTATGGTATCCCATGAGATAATACAATATTGAATGTGGTATACCATACATAATAGTGTCAAATAGAGTACAATTAGGTATATATGACCCTAGTGCAACTATTGGACCAAACACTGGCATATATTTAACTGGTTTGTCGGCCAATTTGAATAATATTTGCGTTAATTTAGCCAGTTTATATATCACTAATTTATCATACAATCCCAATTGTGCAGGTGCTATATGACCACCCAGCATATCAAACACTTTTAGAAAAGTGGGCTTAATATTCATTTTGTAGTTATAATAATAAGTAGCTTGGTGTATCAATCCCATTATGGCCCAGTATATTTGTATGTATGTCATGTGGGGTTGTATATTTAATAAATACATAAAATCGCCAAACACCAATTTAGCATGCTTATGATTTAGTGGTGATAAACAGATGCATATTATGTTATTAATTAAAAATACACACATAGTCGCTGTCATAATCCAAGGTCTATTAGCCAATAACCTGGGTGTTTGTGGTACATACGGACTACTGGTATGGCATAAACCAATTTTGTATAAATGATTGCCGGCTGATGGGGTAATCAACTCATCCGGTAACACACGGTTTATATCTATTGTATTCATTGTTTTAAACTTCATAATGTATTACACTATTGGGACAATAAATACACAACACTTTGTTTTATACCTCGCTAAATGACATTTTGTAAGTTGTTTTTATTATTGTATAAAAAATAAATTATAAATTATAAAAAGATATCATCCTGTAATACACGTTTTGTCGATATTGTATCCATTATTTTAATATATTTAACATTTTATAATATTGTAAATAAAAATATACGTCACTTGTTTTAAATGTATTCTTGGCTATATGACTTTATGTTTAATGTTACTATTATTGTTTACTAGTATAATGTCAAAATATGCATTAAACGATATAACATAACAAAATATAACGTTGACCTTTAACAAATAAACAGGTTTACATTTAATGTCGGGTAGCAACGCTAAAATTGTAAATACATTTGACGTAAATATATTAAATAAATTATTACTTAAATTTTTAATAACATATTATAAAATTATTCACAAATATGTCAATTAAGATATTCATAAACAATAAAGTAATAAAATGCTTTATCCGTTTAATATGCTGTGTCCACGTCAAATTAGTATTATCTATTTTTGTATTTTTGTATCTTAATTGTAGTATAAATAAAGAAAATGAATTTATTAATAGTATATATTCTAGTAGCTTATGTACTCTAGGCTACAATTGCACTCAATCAACACGTTAATTAACATGGATATCATTATTAGTATACCTTAATAAATTATTTTACATAGTTTCTCACAACGCGAATTTACCGTAATCATATTTGCGAAATACTGTGCTATTTATAATTATAATGATAGCGATCATATCCAGTCTGACCAACCGTCCACCATTGGAGAGGACAGTCCTCTATTTTGGTAGTTGTCTCTGAGTTTTAAGGGAGATATAGTGGTCAGAGAATGTCCTTTATTTGTGAAAATTATGAAAGTTGGATCCAAAGAAGCGCCTAGGTTTTTTTGCTCGCATTTCTATATTTCTTGCGATAAATCAATTTTGTAAAATGTATTTAAACTATGATTTAATTGTGTTCTTTTGACATACCAGAGAATGTTCTACAGTTGTATAAAATGCTCAATGTTGTCAAATCTTGATTCAAATAAGTACTATCGATTGCAAAGTGTTTCAAGGTCGTGTCCATTCACTCATGAGGAATGTCAAGAACAAAGTCAGTATAATAGGTGATAATGGAGTGACGGCTTTACATAAACTCTAAGACTGGTTCCATATATTGTATTCGACTGTATAATTGTTTTTCTAGTTTCAATAAATACTTTTCTAAATATTAATATTTTTATAAAAAAGAATTTACACAAAAAAGCAAGCCTTAGTTACCCCGGGTGATAGCCATGAAAACATTTATTGAAAATCATTGCTTATTGTGCAGAATTTTCTACATAAATATATTTTATGCCTAGATTTTATAAAATTCATAATCATTTCATACGTTTCACACATAAAACTCAATATTCGCGTACAGTTTAAGACACTTTTACTTTGGGACTAAAATGATGACCACTTCCGTGGACTTCGCGGGCAAAGTAGTGATAATCACGGGCTCGAGCGGCAGCATCGGTGCGGTGACTGCCGTCGAGTTCGCCCGACTCGGGGCCCGAATGGTGGTCACCGGTCGCCGGAAGGATCGGGTATCCTCTGTGGCCAAACAGTGCGCTGAGGCGTCGCCTACCGGCGCTAAAGCACTGGAAGTGGTGGCCGATGTCACCATCGGTGACGACTGTCGCCGATTAGTCTCGGAGACTATCAAGACGTTCAAAAAGCTGGACATTTTAGTCAACATCGCCGGTGAGAGTATAGAGTCGAGCGTATGGGACGTGGATATCCTCGATAAGTATGACCACATTATGAGCACAAACCTCCGGTCAGTCGTACGGTTGACTCATGTGTCGAGCATTTGGAGAAAACTAAGGGTAATATCGTTAACATGTCGAACGTTGCGGCCATTAAGCCGGTATTTATTTACTATTTTTTATATACTGTACATGATCATTCAATAATTTGTATGTAAAACTATTCTGACTACTAGCCCTATCGTTTTCGCCACGCTAAGTGTATAAATAACTAACGCATGGCTTTGAAAACTAACAATTCAATGCTCTGGTGACATAATTTATGTAATTGAAATGGGAGTTGAAAGTCAATTGTTTGTTAAATAGTACAAAATATAGTATGAAAATGTAGCTTTATAAAATAAGTAATTTATTATAAATTAGTAATATAAAATTAATTTCTTATAACATTAGGCGCGCATGCTACAGCTATCATCATTCATTCGTCTATTGCATACATACTAATTGAATGACCTTGTACAAATAAAAATTTTAAAAATACGATTATAATCATAATTTGCGAATAGAGACCGAATTCGCCATTGCTATCGACGTCAAAGTCGGCGCTGGATATGTTCACAAAGTGCGTGGCGCTCGAGTTGGCTCCCAAAGGTATCCGGGCAAACGTAGTCAAGTATGCTCTCGCTCATTGCCAATTGAATTGATTCGTATTGAACTAATGAGCATGGTCGCTTTAAATATGTTTTTTCCCGTATGAAAGTCCCGGTCTCATTAGGAGCGGGTTTATGGAAGCGGGTTATCACATGACTAAAGCGGAAGTGGACGACGTGTTGGCCGTGAAGGCCAAGAAGTGCCCGTTCGGACGGGTGGGTGAGCCCATGGATGTGGCAAAAGTGGTGCTGTATTTGGCGTCCAATGGCGCGTCGTTTGTGACCGGAGCCAACTTCGTGGTCGACGGCGGCGTCCAATATGTCTAATCCATGATATTTGATCAGTTGGTGCCATGCCTTATGAATTCACCATGGTATATTTAACCGAGAATACAGTTTAAGACAATATTTACGTAGTAGTTTTGTAGTAACCGTTTTATTCAGTATGAGCTACAGTGCTATGTTAGTTTGGCATAGTATGTAATAAAAATCTCGTTTTTACCACGTTAAATTTTTATGACTTCCCTGTAATGGTGTGTTAATTAACCAAGGGTCAAAATTACGGCCAGTTTAGTAAAACCAATTTGTGGCTGAGCCCATGTATGTGGCAAAAAGGAATGTTGTATTTGATGTCAGTTGATATATCTAACCTTTATATTCATCACATTATGGTCGTGCTTTATTTATCGGCCTAGATTCATTTGATACAGGATCATGTTTAAGACTATTTTGCTAATTTAGTTATTTATTAATAGATTTTATACCATATGAAACTCTGTGTAATTTCGATATAAAACTTGACAAATTTAAACATTGTCACATTTTAGTAATTAATTAAAACGGAAATATCGTATTTGTTAATGTTATTTCACATTTTTACAAAATGGTTAACTTGGTAAATTATTAAATAGTTAATATAAATTTTATAGAATTACTTATTATTGTTGAAATGTTCCACTACCAAATCAACACATATTATTTACCATTTAATTATAATGAATATAACTAATTAGTAAAATTTAATTAATTTTACATTAAATTCTTGATTAATAAAAAATTTAGAGACAAATGGGAGACCGATTAGAATACTACTAAAACTAAATTTTATTAATTTAGTAGTATTCTAATCGGTCTCCCATTTCATCTCCCGTTCCCACAGCGACTCCAACCCCGTTCCCATCCACTCGTCCCTCACCTTCTTATCAATCAAATCGCTCTCATCTTTAGTGAGTGTCTCTCTCCAGCCGCCGGACACGCCTTTCCGGGAATGGTGGTCATCGTTGCCAAGGGTGGCCATCATAGCCTCAACACTGGACACCTTAATGATCTGATCAAATAGAGTGGGCCACCCATCGGGACCCCTATTACCATCACTAGTGATACCGGCGCTGTCATCGATAGGGCACCGGTCGTACAGTCTGTCCACGTATTGCGGGCCTAAAAATGAAGTTATTTTCACGATACTGTTCCTCGGATTCGTTAACATCTCTTCGTACGTAATGACTGTACAGGCGCTGTCGTACCGGTGCTCCCAATGTACGCGCGCACTCTCGAAGTAGTCGCCGTACGGGAGTCTCTTACCCGCGACCCATAGGCTCAGGTACTCCTTGAACTCGATGTCGAAGTTTTTCTTAAAGTAGGAGTAAATGGAGACACAAACGTCTTTCGGGTTCCGCAATACGAGTAAATACTTAGCGCACGGACTGTAATGTAGGAGCTTTAGAGGAATGTGCGATCTCATGAACGTGACACCAGTGGTCGCTTCCGGCCCCTCCCTGTCCAACAGCTTCCGGGCGTGATATTCAAGTATGTATTTCCTGTAAATTGAGTGATGGGTTGGCAATGTGCCACCGCTTAGTATGCTATATATAACGAACTCGGCCCACCAGGTGCCCGTATTAGGGTAGGTGAGCATTATGCGATCCCCTGGTCGGGGCTTATTGTCCAGCGCCAACTCAACCGATTTCCGGGGAAATGGTTTTGGATACAGATTTCCCCGGATTTCCTGCAACTTATCCGCAAACCTGTCGCTCATTTCAATTAAAGTCGTCTGAAATTACTATAAAATTAGAGATTAATTAAAACTGGAAATATATATCTGAGCAGATATTTTTAAAACTAGTTCATGGTGTTTTTAATACATGTTTATATTTAAATACCTGGGCTTTTCAAGGATAAAAGTACTTTTGTCATTTATAACTACGGTGATATTTGTTATAAGTAAATGATTTGCATTTAAATTTTCAGGATTCATGTTATAAATAAAATTAAAAATTTCGGACAAATAGATGAATTTACAGTTTTAATGACATAAACGAATTTAATGCATTTAGGTTTTATGATGCCGGTATATTATAGTTTAGCAACTATTTATGACTCAACATTTTTAAAAGTACATTACAATTTTTGTTTGAAACAGTACAAAACACATTGAAGCTTGTAAATTATTTTAAATCTATAATTAATTCAGTATAATGGATACTATCTATTTTTACTATGGCCTCGCTTTAAAATTACTTAGTTTCAGGTGGACAGGCGTATGGGTTTCTATAGGTTTAACTTACATTTTTAGAAATTATTAAAACATACAGTATATGACTTTCTTTATATGACAGTATATGAGTTTTGGTTGGTTTTACTTAAAAATAAATTTTTCAAATAGTTATAAAATTTTTGCCAAAAATAATACTGTACGCAAGATCATTTAGATGGAGTTACCTGCTATATTTTACTATAATTTTAAAAAATTGTTATATTTATTTAATAAATACTATTTTTGCAGTTAAAATTATGTTTGATATGAATCATTAAACGTAATATTATTTTTTTACTACATCAACACAAAATATGTGATACGATTTATCAATTAAGTGACAAACGTTTTGCATTAAAAACTAAGTAATGTAAACCAAAAGCTTTAAATTAACAGTTTACTCATAGACTTGTATGCGTAAGCTGTTAATTTAAAGCTTTTGATATGCATTACTCAGTTTTTAATGCAAAACGTTTGTCACTTAATTGATAAATCGTATCACATATACACAAAACTAAAGCTTCATTGTTTATGTAACAAAAATAATCACATCCTATATATAACCCCCGAAAGTAATCTTAAACTAAAACATTTGACAAATTATATTTGTGTCGAATAATTAATGTATTTTTTGTGTACATTATTGGCAATTAATAACCAATAATTGCATTCATTATAAGCCTAATGTTTTTGCAAACTAATTATAAGCAAAATAAACTATATTTTTAGGCAAAAAGCAAAACATTTTAAAATAGCTTTTTTGGGGTAAGACATTAATTTTTCATATCGAGTAATGACTTAAAGCATACCAAAACATTTTTGGACTAATAATGTATAAACAAAACAGTATTTTAGATATTTTTTCGTTTATTAATTGATAGAAAGCAAGTGTTTTCACGAGAGAGAGAGAGAGAGAGAGAGAGAGAGAGACTTATGATAAATATATTGGGAAATATTGTAGATGGAGTTGCTTGTTAAGTTAAGTCTCTCTCTCTCTCTCTCTCAAACTTCAAAATTCAAACTAAAAATGATTTCATATTTTGCTTAACAAGTGCCCAGTTATACACGACATCCCATCCCATATGCACCCAAATATGCCATAAGTTTTTCACCAAACTATTGACTAAATAGTCTTAAAACTGAAAGGAAATGTGGTTTTCGTAATGACTTTGTGTATCGGAGTTTTGACTGTCATTTGCGTGCTATTAGTACCCCTCGTAATGGCATTCAATAGTGTGTCGGATGAGTTATGTCACCAAATATTTGCATGACTAATATTTACAGTGAATGTAATTTTTAATTTTAATGTATTTCGGATGAAATAATTCTGTGAATAATAAATTTCACAAAACTTTTGAAACAAAAAAAATTATTAAACATAAAAAACACTTTTTATTGTGTATTATACTAGTTTGAAAATAGTTGTAATTTTATACACATGCTAGTTTAGAATTAAAATTATTTTAATAATATTTTTAACTCTGTGTTATATAATAGTTCATAAATTTAATTATTTTTAATCCTTTAATCCTTTAATCAAATTATAAAGACAATTACATAAGGAAATAATGTTTAATAAATCTTTCTAGTACAACAAAAAATAAATAATCCAGCATGTTTCAAATACTACTCAATCACTAATCCCTACATTCATTAAAACAATATTTTCAATACAAAAGACAAACCGCTTTTATATATATAATACGAAAAACAACAGCAAAAACATAATTATATGATTTAAACGAAAAGTAAAATCGCGTTATTATTATGCGATTAAACATTCATTGAATGCATATTAAAATCCTACGAAAAAATATCTATTCATCAAAATGCAGTCGACTATTAAACAAAAGTGAAACAAAAAATTAATAATCAAAACAATTTTTGTCTGTTTTTTCTCTAATACATAGTAATAATCGGTGAGAGAATAGTCAATACATAATAATAATGACAAACACTTTAATAATAGTAATAAAGACTATAGAAAATGGCATTTCGGTAGAGACATGACATAAAATAATTGCCTAGCTACATTTAGCTCTCTCTCTCTCTCTCTCTCTCTCTCTCTCTCTATGATTACAAACGTTTTTCTCTGTCTATCTAACTCTCCGTCAAATATTTGCATAAAAAACAAATTATATTCAATTAGTGAACGGACGGACAGGTAGTTAGTCGTGGGGTTGCGAGTGGTGGGCACACATACACTGTACGGATGGACAGCTTTTAAATAGTTTTTATTAAATTACATATTTCTATGGACTTTGACTACAATCATGTCTCGCTATAATGTACAAAAAATATATTAGCATACTATTTTACTATTACCACTTTTAATATTAGTATTACACTACTTTTAAATGCTATAACTAATTGTAAATAGCTTATTAACTAGCTAATATAAATGAGAATTAATCAACTATCTATTTACAATAAACTATTTTAAAAATTGTATTACATTTGAATTAAACTAGCTTAATATTTTCAATAGATTTATATAATGTATATTAATTCACCACAAAATGCTATAATAAAAGTTTGCCAAAAACTTCACGCACTTAATGATAATGACCTTTCGCTCGCATACCGGTGCCGCTCAGAGTATGCATCTGAACGGTGTGTCTGTGTTGAGTGGTTTGGGAGTGTTTTTGTCAAACCTCTGGGCCCTCAATGTATATACACTATACATACCGTACACTATATGGCGATCACTGAGAGGTATATACAGTGACTATAAAGTGAAATAAGTTTTTGAAGTCAAAAATGGTTTTATTGCCAGTCATTAGCGGTCGATCATTAACGGCTGTCCCCTTATGTATGGGGTATGTATGAGGCCCTACA